GACACCAGGTAGGTGGTGCCCTGTCGGTCTGGTGCCAGATCACCACATGCCGGTCCATGGCCGGGGGGTCGCTCCTGAAAAGGTGAGAAAGGAGCAAACACTGCTACATCCTGCCCAAATCAACCAAGTCGGCTTCCAATTATCGAGTCCCGAGGATTCCAACCGCAAATAATTTTTACTTGGTTTTGCTGAATAACCATTGCTCTTATATTTGATTTGAGGACCAACACCACCAGCTCAAACTTTGTTTGATGGTCGCCACGGAAGGCCAAAGTACTCATCCAACGGGACAATCACCGTGTCCGCTTGGACGTCGTCCCCCTGACGTGTTTCGCCCGGGCCTTGGGCAAGAGGCCTTGCGCCTGCCTGAGGAACAAAGACGGTCATGGCCGTCATGGCACCAGACCAACCGATTGATCCATCATCCAAATGAAACAAACATGCACTCACCACCTGACATGGTCACCCACTGCCACTTCCTTCAGAGAACAAACCTGTTTTCGTCCAGACAAAACTCTCGATAAGACCTGAAAATAACTCCTCCAGGTTAGAATCCCAACTGGTTCTTTCACGCCTGGTCCACTTTCACACACCCAAAGACTGCCTTAAGCTTCCCAGGCTTGAAGTGGAGCGAAAACCAACCCGACTCGGCCTTCGGATCGTCTTTGACAGGGCCAAAGTTCGCCTTCAAACATCGTTTTCTAGAAAGAATGGTGCACCTAATTTTGGGCACCACCCGGTTTTCGAGTGTAAAACCCTTGGTACAACAATGGTTCTTTGACATTCCGACCATTACAATCATGGTGAGGAATTGGTCGGGTACAGCTCAGCTCAGCCGAGCTGAAGCAGCAACTCGGCACCCGCCCCGTCCACGGGAAAATCTACTTTTTGTTACTATAGTAGCTTCTTGTTACTACTAGCGTTATGAGGCTGAGCTTCAGCCTTTTATGGGAAACACATTATGTTTAGTTCATTGCGTCTCAGGGGTTATCCTGGGATATCTGCAAAAATGCATTATGCACGCATATGGTGGGCTGTTGGAAATTGCACAAAGAAAGCATACAGCATTGCATCATGTATATGATGGCCTATCTAAAATGGCATAGTGCCTCCAACCTACTCGCGATGGCCGAAAACACCTACTTGCGACGGCCTCCACCCAATAGCGTCCTGTGGAAACACCAGAACCTTCCACTCTTTTCTCCTTTTCATGGGACACACCTGTGTCCTGGCGCCCCCATTTCCTTCCCCCCCAAACCGTTCGGTGGGAGTCCCTCACGGCCGGTCCAAGTCTGAGCGGCCGCAAATGGCTCGTCCACCAGGCGGAGCGCCAATACCTGCTCTCGAAGGCTCGAAGCTCGGAGGTCAAGGGGTGACGACATGTCTCATGTTGCTCCTCAGCATGTGATGTGATGGGGGAAGAAAGGATGCACTTCCAATGCCGAGAACCTGAAAGTTCGGATCCGGGCCACCTGATGCACACTGAATCGCAGCCTTCTTTGTCGGGGAGCTCATCGGACAATCTACAAGCTTGCATGAAACTTCGAAAAATGCAGAACCCCTCAAACACAAGGCCAACATCACGAGATACCGTGGCATCGAGAAAGTTGCGCCTGACGCAGCCAGCATGTGAGAAACTATTCGCCGGGTGAGATATTCTGAGATGCTTCAAGCGTACTTAGGAGACATAGCCTTTGCTCCTTCTGAAGCAAACACTACGAGCATCCAGCTGGTGAGACTTGACAAGTAGAAAGTAGAGACAGATGAGACAGTGAGTTCTTGTTCCTCGTAGTAGAAAGCTACTAGTAGCAATGCCAGGAAAAAAAGAAAGACAAACACATAGTAGCTTTATTGTTACTATAGCTACTAGTAGTACAGCCCGTTTCTCCCCCGTTCGTGTGCTTCGGGTGCTCACCGAGCTTCGTGGCCCGCGCTGAGTCTCCCCGCGTCGCTTCGCTCCAGAGCTTCTCCTCGTGAAGCGCGGAGCGCCGGTCCGACAGACGTCACGTGGACAGCGGGGACGGCAAAGCAAGCGGGTGATGTTTCTCTTGGGTTTTTTTCGGGCTTTGGTTTCTGGGTGTGTTTACTTATGGAGCGTTCCGGACATCCTGGATGTGTCGAGACACGAGTTTGGTGAGTTTCGAGGGGTCTCCATGACTTTCGAATGACGTTGGGGATTCTTTTGATCACACCCAATCATATCCCTACAGGTCAAGGACCCCATGTTACTGGGCTCCGGTCAGGCAAAAAAGGTACCGGTTTAACTTTGTCCTTGGACTGGTCGCGTATGAAAGTTGGTGTGAGTTCTCAGAGTCTCTTCAAAGCCCTGAGCGTCGCAGGAAGCGAAGTCCATGTGTATCGGAAAGACCCCCAAAAACACCCAAAAGGTGTTCTTACTTCTCAATGACTGGGTGCGTGACTGGGTGCCTGTATTTCATTTTTGGTGGCTCTTCGGGGGTCTATGCCTGTCATTTCGGCTTCAACAAGTGACCCAGTTCGGACCTGACACCCCGACGGGGTCTCGACCCTCTGTTCCCAGGCCCCGTGAAAACCAGATCTTCTTGAGGGTCCGGATCCTTAGGGCCTTAGGGTCGGCATTTTGTTTTTAGATGCATTCTACTTGATCATGTTTGATCTAACCAGTTGAGTGAAGCAACCGAAGACCCTCCGAAGATCTCACCGAAGACCAACCGAAGACGAGCGGTGTCGGCCGCACCTGCTTGGCGCTCATCGCACCTGGGAGTCTTGCGGTGTCGCGTGAACCGGCGACCTCAACCGACCACCTCATCGTCGCATGGCACGATTCTGATCTGGCACGATCGACGTCGCATCGAACCCTGGTTTGTCACAAATGCACCGTGCGGCGGGGGAACGAACGCACCCGCGACGAAGTCAGACTTCGTTCGAAGGCGAACAGCACAGTGAGATGCTCCACTGTGCTCCCCCCCGAGATGCACCTCAGTGTGCCTCTCCCCCGCCACCGTCCAAAGCGCCCCAAACGGTGTCTCTTGGGGCGGCTGGCTTTTCCTTCCGACCCCGTCGACCGCTGAGGATCCGCGCTGGAATGCTCATCCGGGTGCGGCACGTCGATGCTCAGATCCTGCGGCACCCGCGGCGAGAGCGAGGTGGTGGTGCGGCGACACGTGTGGCGGGTTTGGTTGGGCGCGGAAATCACAGTCGTTTTCGAGCTGAGCTGGGTGGAGCATGGCCCCCAAAACCATGGACCAACAGAGGTTGAAGGACCCGAACTAGACTATCCCAGTTCGGTACCCCAGGTGACGGGTCCTAGTTCAGGTCACGTCTAACCTCTCTTGGGACAGCATTGATGCAGCTGGAACGCCTTTGCTCAATGCAGCTGGAACGCCTTTCTTCCGATCCTTTGGGCAAATTCAAGGTTAAAGGTTCACCCGAACTGTCCATTTTGTTCATTGTTTCGTGGGGAAACCAATCCTTCCCCCAAAAGGTTACGCAGATTTTTTGGAGGGAATTTGTTCCGACCCATTGATGGACCATGGACTGGCCATGGCACAATCGGAGTTTTGGAAGGCATCCAACGTCAGACTTGGCAAACGATGACCCAGCAGGCAGGTTCTGTAGCTTCATGTTGAATTCTTTTGTAACGCCCGCCCATGTCCGAACGGCTTTGGGGGGTCCCCGTTTTCAACAAAGTGCCTGTTGCAAACCAGGCCAAATGAATGAGCAGCCAAATGGCCGGCAAAGCCAACAGGTGTGAGCCCCGCACCAAGTCAGCACCTGCAAGAAATCAGGTACCCTCCCTTAAAAAACGATGGAAGTGGACAATCACACCCGGAAAGACAATTTTCCTCTACAATTAAGGGGTTGTAGATGACCATGTTTGTTGGAGGGGGTAAACCGGCCAAAATCAAGTGCAACACTTTTAATGTTGAATTACAGATTCCAAGTGTTCTGGTACGCAGCCTTTCTGATTTGAACATAAGACTAGCTGAGTTCGTCGTCAGCATGTCACCCCAAACTTCCGTCACACCGGCTGGGTCACCGGTCCTGCCAGGTATGAGTCCTCGGCTCTTTCACCTGGGTCGCGCGAGAAGGTCCGAGTCCGTGCGAAGGCTCCGGGGTCGCGAGCCAAACCGACCGACCACCCATGGTCCCGGTGGACGGGACATCCATGGCCGACTGGACTGACTTAACTGGTGGCATTTTTTCAGTGGATCTTGGCACTCTTGGGTAAATTACAACTCGTCATGTGAATGACGATGTTCGGTCGCTTCTGTCTAGTGTGGTCAGTAGCACAAAAATAACAGGAACCCAACATCAGGCTTGCCCACATTCATTGTCCTTGACAGTTCGGTATACGTATATATATATATATATAGAGTATAGACACTACTTGATGTCATAATGACCAGTCCTGATCCCCACTAAACACCCATGCTTTGGCCGCTCAGAAGCCTCATAGGCTGCCCTGAACTGCGAGATTGATGATACGAAGGCATGAACCAGGCTAATTACCAGGCTGAGGCATGCATGTCAAGCATGTCTATCCTCAGTCATAGACTTCATACCTGGATCTTCCAACCGTGCAACATTGCTGATGAACTTGGCTCTTTCTTTCTTTCTTGAAAGGCACACGGCCCAAGAGACAACGCCCACGCCACCGGCGCACCGGCGCACCGGCGCACCGTCTTCGTGTCTCGCCACGTCACCCTCCGCTGCCCCACGCGCATCATCTGGAGTAGGTCGCCAGCGGCCTAGGCCCGAAGGGGGAGGGTGGTCACCACAAAGGGCTTTTGCCGAACACTTCTTCCTGTTCGCCATCCAAATTGAAGATGATCGAAGTGGGGCCACAAGACAACACACACACACCAAACAATCACCCAAACTCACCAACTCCAAAGCGGAGAAACGAAGAAGTTGGTAGCTCCGACTTGCCGACTTCTTGGACCAACCTGGAACGGTTGGGGGCCAGTCCACGGCCTCACCGCGCTGTCGAACTGCAGCCTTTTTCCGTTCTGAGCGAACTATTCCATGTACAGCCACACCTGGGTGCGCTGAGCGTTTCATGGGGTGTGGATCTCATGAAGGCGGACTGAGGATCGTCTCTCCCCAAAATCAACACCAGTCACTGTGGTATGGACACCTCGGTCGTAGGTGGGAGGCCATCGCGTTTTTAGGAGGCCATTCCTATTAGGTTCTTATTTCTTGCATGTCATAAACATGAGCTGTCAGGTTCCTTTCCACCTAAAATAGTCATCATGTTTTATCGACTGCAACCGATTTACTGGGACGGTTTTTCAGACGGACAAAAGGGGGCCGTCTCGACTCCGAGGGAAAGGGGGCCGACCCAGTCATGGACGTTGCTCCCAAGTCCGTCCGTTGATTTCTTATAGGAATGACCTCCAACTGAATCGGAAACTATAACAAAGCGCATCGCTAGGAGCAAGGACGCTACTAGGGGCTCTTCTCTGCTTCTTACGTGATGCAAACCGAACAGATGTCGATGGTGTCCGAAGACTGGAGACTTCAATAGTGATCGTTCGACGCAATGTACTTGTACAAACAACGAGGGCCTAAGTAGGGACTAGCATTGACTAGGGCCATCTTTAATTGACAGATTGGGGGGCTAGATAGATTCCCTTGACACAGGCACCATCTTTCTCTTTCGGAGAAAGGGCTGGAGGCACTACCCCTTTTTCCCAGACAGGGCTGCAGGAGGGGTCACACATCCAAGGCAAATGCATCGGCAACATCCAGATCTGGACTACCAGCTGAAAGGCACCATTCCCCTAGATTTCCGTTCGACCATTAAAACAATGGGACAGACCTGGTTTTTGCAGTGTAAAATCCTTAGTTGATTGGGTGAAGCCTATTAAATTAATGGTTGTTCGCTTCGCTTAGGGATTCACTCATTTTGTTGGTTTCGTCGGAAGCTACCTCTGCAAACAAACTAAACCTTCGGACATCGCCCTCCGTTCGGATCAGTCGCTCAACGGGTCAGCTAGCGCCGAGACGAGACGCTTGGACCAAGCGGAACTTGCTTGGTCCACCAACCGGAATCCCCTCAGCTTCTGACGAAATGTTCGAACGTGCACCCCCCTTGATGCCCCCCGGCGCCAGGGCACAGGCTGTTTGGGGCTCCTGGGCAGCGCAGCGATTGGACGCTGCGAAGTCCGGAAGCAGGGAGGATGCTACTAGCGGCTGCCTGGAACAAGGCTACGAACGGAGCATGTCGGGCATCGCGACTCGAACGGAGCATGTCGGGCATCGACTGGCCGATGGCGTGGTCGCAAGACCTTCGGCCTTCGGGACCCCATGAGGAACCGGCCGGACACATCCCGATCGAAGCACCTCTTTCGGTTTTTCCCCGCACACTGGGTTCAAGTTTGAGGGTATGAAGAGGACCCAAAGGTGCGTGCACCGCACATGAGGATCTCGTTTAGTTGAGACCTTCCCCCAACTGAACGGACATACCGGACTGACCGCACCCTCCAACAGGTAGACCTCGTTCTTGGAACATGAGAGGTGAATTTGTGACCTGTAGACTTTGGATGCTTCAAGTTCTCAATTCACCCAAGTTCAGTTTCACCCAAACTCCATGCTTTTCGCCCCGTAACAACTTCCCCTCTCTCCAGCTCGTGCGCAGTGCTGCCGTCTTCCGCAGCGGCAGCTCCGCTGGCTCCAGCTCCAGCGGCTTCAGCAGCAGCAGCGCGCGCGGGAGCTGGCCACGTCGGCGCAAGGCGCGGAGGGCGAAGTCCTGCGAAGGGTCTGGAGGAGGCGGAGGATGGAGGTCATTGCTATTCGGAATCGATCGGACGCTACGTTCGGGGCCCCTGGCCTTACTACTAGGAGCAAGAAGCTACTATGTCCGAAGAAACACTCCAACTTCCGCCCTCACCACGGTCTGGGTCGCACCGATGTCTTTTCAAATCGCTCCAGGGTCGCTGGCTTCGGCATGGGACTGTTGATCTGGCCACTTCCAGTGGGATGTTAAATTCGAAGGGTGAATCTCTCATATTTCGCGGGGAACCGTGACTTGCAGGTGATCGTACCAAACCTGGTATAGGGCAAAAGATGGATGAACCGTCCTTTAAGAGGGTAAGAGGGTCCTTTCAACAGCTGGCCTCCAATGGCCTCCAACCTACTTGTTTCGTGCGCCAGATCCAACAACCCGCCGGAGTCCGAGTCCGACTTGTGAACTAGCGCAAAAAGAGAGAGTCACCTCTGTGGGCGGAAGAACAGCCGATTCTCACGGCGATGAACGGGTATGTCGGTATGGACAACGAAATCAACATGTCTGTGAAGATAACATGTTAAAATACACTCTGGTAAAGAGTGCTGAACAGCCCGCTCAAGAATGCCCAACAAAGACACGTCTCCTTACCAGCACTGCCATCACGTATGATCAAGGTCGATGGTCTCTAGTCACAGTCAAAAATACTGCAATCTGAAAAGCTCTGTCAAAATAGATCTCTGGACAAGCTGCACTTCAGCAGCAACAATTGGGCGTGCCTTGTGAGGACCTTTGGTAACATTCTATGTATTTCAATGTTAGATTGACTGGTTGCTCTATGGCAGTTCTTTTGGCTTTGCTTGCGGCTCTTCGGGCTGGTTTCTCAACAGCCCGGATGTGCTGGAAAAGACTTGGCACCGCAGCATCACCATTAAACACAATTGAATGGTTGCCGTTCCAAACCGCCTCTCAGGTCTTCTTGGCAAAGCTACGGATCTCCCTTGTCGCCTCTTGCTCGTCGATCTGTGGCATTCGCCTGCACAGGGGCTTGCACTGGCTGGATCTGCATACCATAACCTTGCACGCCAGGTACGACCACTTGGAGAACTTGGACCGGTCGAAGAAGATGCCCGAAACGTTCCAAGAGCCGCTCATTGGGTGGCGCCAAGTCCAAGGCGTTCAGTAACTGCGTCAACGGCATCCGGGGTGTGCCGCCGGCCGCCCGGCCGCCGCCCGGCCGCCACTGGGAGCCCCACGGCATCACGGTGGTCTTTACGATTCGCCCGCCCTTCTCGCTTCGCGAGGGATCCCAAACGAGGGCCGAACGACGTCGGATTCACCGACTTCGCGAGGCGGGATCCGGACCCGACACCGAAACCCTTTCCATTGGTTTGGGCAGGGTAGAACCCTAAAGAATCCGGGCCAGGGTTTTGAGGGCTTGGACCCCTGCCATGGAGGGCCCAAGGATTTCTTAGGATAGCTTAAAGATCCTTAAAGTTGTCTGCTAGCAATGCATTGAGGCAATACAACGCATGAACATGTTGCACGACGCATGAACATTGGACGAGATCCGATGATGTATGGAATGTGGAAGGTCGGGGTGTGGTCGCTGTATGTTGCAGCTGGATTTCCAAGGGATTTCCCATCCAGTTGGATCCCATTGCAACAGTCTCCAGTCTCCTTCGACCAAGGTTCCTAATAGCAGCTGGCCTCCAACCTCGATTGTCTGGGGGTTGATGCAACTCTGGACCTTACGAATGAGAGCTGATAAGCGGTGTCTTCGGAGCAGGGAATCGCCTGGGCTTTGGAGGTGTTCGATTTGGGTTCCCACATGGAGTGGCAAAGGAGTGGTCCTAACATGTCACCATGTGCCAGTTCCTATTCACAACACAATCAGGGTCGTTCAGTACTGGAAGGAAGCGGTCAAGAACCTGGTTCTTACGCATCCAACCATTAATATTAAATGACCTTGGCACTGACCCATGAGAATCATTTTACTATACAGCCTGGAAACATACCGGAAGCACCAAGAGCAAGGCGTTACTTCATGTGGAACTGTCGGACACGTGTAGCTTCCCCCCCGCCATACGTGTATCCGAGTGTGCAAGGGGCTAATGAAGCATGACTGTCCAAAAAATTGTACATGTTCAGTCAAACTGTCTAAAACTTGCACATGTTCAGTTCAATTGACTGCTTTCTCTTTGCTTTTTTTCCAACGGTGACACGGTCAAACGGCCCCATCGGCGAAGTCGAAGATTCTTCACAGCTTTGAAACAACCGTCCACCCTCTCCTCGGTGAAAAGCCTCAGCTGGAGGAGGACTGAGCGTCTGACCAAACTGAGCAGCTTCCAACACCTCCCCTTTTCAACCTCTGAAGATCTGGGAGGTACTATGGGAGGCTTTATCAGTCATCAAGAGTCTACATCGATGGTTTTCAAGCTGCCTTGTTGGGTCTTTCAAATTCAGTCACTTGCCTTTGATCGGGAATCACTGTGTGAGTCGCTGATCTTGGTATCAACATCAAAAGCCATGGACTTACTGAGGACCAGCTGCTTGTTGGCGAAGAGGACTACAGTGGCATCCCTGGCGGAGTGCAACTTGGCCAGTGCGGAATCTGACGAAGGACACTCCCACTCACTATCATGGAAGTGAAACATGGACTCTGGTCAGACTAGTTTCCGGAATACACACATGTGGTAGTTTACGACTTGCATGTTTCTTTCCTTGGAGGGTAGAAGCTACTAGTAGCTTGAAGCTATTAAAAGGTTGAAGCCCATCGCTAGTAGGTTGGAGGCCATTACTACTGGTAACAAGAAGCTACGAACGTAGCAATGGGCATCACTACGAACGGAGCAAGGATGCTACGAGCGGGGCACTCCTGGCATTACTTAGTGTTCCAGTCCCATGGATGGTCTGGGGCCTGGAAGTCGAAGCACCATTTGTAAAACGGTCCAGTCCAGTCGGTGCAAGAATAGGTGAACTGGACTTCGAGGCTGTTTGGTTTGCCCAATAGCGGGGAGTGGTTTCCCCCGGAGCCGTTCGATTGTGGTGAACCGACATTCGCCCGTGGTGAACTGTCCACCTACTTCGACTCTCCTAGGCGTCGGAGCCAAGGTCAGGGGTGCTACCAAACACCACCCCTTTGTGACTCCCAGGTTGGAAAATCCAACCGCGCAATGCAGCAATTAAACAGGGTGACGACGAATCCCTGGGCTCGATCCCTACTTCCAGCTGCACTCATAGCTATGACATGAAAGGCACATGGTTTGGGTCACAACGTCAGTCGTCCACCAGGAGTCCACACCTGAGTCGTCTGGGTGAAACGAACGTCAACTCTCCACACCAAACTCTGCTGAACATTCAAAGGCAAGAAGCTACGTTCGGGGCTCCTGGCCTTACTACGAACGGAGCGATCGGGCGCTACGAATTACGGGCTCCTGGCATCGCTACGAACGGAGCATTCTTATCGTCACGCACGTCACAAGAAGCTTTCAGGGCCGGGGCCTTTCAGGGCCCCTCGTCGTCGTCGACTCGTCTCGGCCTGTGAGGGCCATCGTCCAGAAGGTCGCACTGCAGAAACTGCACCTGGCGACGTCACAGATCCGATCGTCGTGGCCAGGGTGTGTGACCCACGGCCGGCTTCGCTTGATCCTTTCGACCGACCTGAAGAAAGCTGACCCACCCTGAGATGGAACTCCTCGGCTGAAATTGGTGAGGTCCTCCCTTTTCGCCAACTACACATAGCCAGCTCTAGCGAAAACGGCGATTTTTTCTCGCACCTCCTGGCGGGGTCCAGTTCTGACTCCTCACCCAGTTTGCTCCGCAGCGAAAGCCCTCGGTGTGGACAGTCCGGTTTGCTGCGCCTGGCTCTGCAAGAAGGGCTCCGCCAGCATCCGATACGTCTCCGCACAGCGGCACCGTGTCTTTGAAAGCTCCTCAGAAAGAGATCGTTCCGCGCGCGAGTGCCAGTGCTGGACACCAGTCACCCTGCAGGTGCTTCACTGGGAAGAGTGAAGGTTTGGGGCTGAAAATCAGGGGTCACCCAGTTCGATGTCAGATTTGTCCAGATTTCAGGGGTGAGTCAGTGCCTTTTTTAGGACGGACAAGTCTCTAAGAAGTGGAACCTACGAAGCTCCCTTGCAGGACCCCACCATGCACCCGACTTCTTTGAGTCTCGCCCATACGAGTTGTGCCATGAATTTCCATGACACGGGTGGTCAGCAGCCCAGGGTCATCAGGCCAAAAGCCCTCTATCCCACCTTGATCTGTCAGGCTGCTTGGCAAACAAAAGCCGCAGTAGAATTCATTTGATCCAACTACTGGGCAAACAATGCAAAGAATAACGAGAAGACACTACATGACACTACACTACACAGTGCCTTTCATGCCACCATGTCTCGTTTGGATTACCTTGGCAACCGACTTTGTTCCAAAAAAGAAGCCAGGGACGACCGACTTTGTTCTAAACATACGACCTTTCATCTGCTCAAATCCGCGGCAAAAAAACGCACCTTTCATCTGCAACGCCGATCCCGATCCCGATCCGTCCGAACCGAGGCAAAACACCCACACATCTGAGCAGCGACCCCAATAGCAGGAAGCCCCGTCCGCAGTGCCAAATACAACCTGAGCCGAGCTTGCTTCGCACAGTTGGATCAAAGCATGTAGTCATGTACCACTGTTTCCTGTGAAGGAATACCAGGAATTTACAAGGTCTATCAAGCTTTCAGCCTTTTTCGTTTACAACTTGGGCCAGATCCGGAGTGTGAACCAACGAGAAGCTCCGGCCTGTACTGAAACCGAGCAGGACAACAAACATGCTTTGAGTCGATAAAAAAGGAAGGAGGAAAGAAAGACCCAAAGTTTAAAGGTCTAAACGGAAAACGCACTTAAACTTAAACCAACAAAAACACAGGAAGAACAAACCATAAAGAAACACATCTGTCGACCCAAGGTGTTTATGGTTTCCATTTCGCGCGCTCGCGGTCCAAGCGCTTGGACCAACAGCTTCAAGGCACAAGGCGCGTCCACTGCCACTCCCGAAGTCGGACAGGAGGTCCTCTGGAACAGATCGAGCCCGGGTCACACCGAGCTGGGCCACTCCGTCCCTCCGTCCGGTCGGGGCCGGGCGGTCTGGAGGTCAACGTCAGCCATGGATCGGACGCATTGGGATCGAAGGGGGTGGTGTTTCCTTTTGGATTCCTTTGTTTGTGGCGGTCTAATGTAGGTGATTTCCAGTCCGGAGAGAGCCTGGTTGATTACATGCCGAGCTACGAAAGGGCCCAGTGGATGACGAGTTATGTTCAGTTTTCTGGCCTTTCCGTCTCTAGAAATAGCGATGTTCTTGTGAAACCCGATGGCTCGTCACAGGTAATATCAGGTACAAACTTACTAAGTATTATCTTCCTCCCTTTTCATCCCTTTTCAACGCACGTCACCAACTTGACCTTCTCGAGCGATTGACTTTTGCACATGTAGAGACAAACGTTGCAACGCTGCGAGGGCATCCAATTCTTCCTTCGGCTTTCCCTCCGGCTGGAGAACTGGGCGTCACGAGCAAGAAAACAAAAGGTTGCTAGTAACGCCGCAAGTAGTAGATGCTGGCACTACTACTAGGAACAAGAAGCTACTAGTAGCAAGGGCATTGCTACTAGGAGCAAGGAGGCTACTAATTAGTAGCTCCTGGCCTTACTACTAAGGACTCTAGAAATCCAGATCACCAAAATTGGGAAAATGTTTATCTCTGACTTGCGAAGCGTTGCAAAGGTCGGGCTGCACGGCTGGTGCAGTGCTGCAACTGGGGAGATGTTTCAAAAACACCTGGTCGATTGGTTGGAATGTTCCCTCTGGGTCTCTTTCTTCGCAGTCTCCTCGGCATGCATCGGGCATTCCGCCAGCAACCACTCGATGAGCTCCGGACTCACTTCACCGTAGGTCGCATCGCCCCCAGAGGCCTGGTTCAGAAAAGCACGTGGGCGAAGGTCAAGGTCATCACTCAAACCGCCAGCCCACGCGGTGTCACCACGAAAAACAGCGCGAAGCCAGCATTTTGGCAAGGGACAATTCAGCATTCCGGGAAGGCCAAAAACTGGAAGGAAGATGAAGAAAGGGGAAACAACATGAAGACATAACACTTCTTTCACAGAACTGTGAAACCACGCTTCTGAACGAACAGAACTGAACGATTCGTTCAGTTCGGCGCGTCCGTCCGAACTTGGTCGCGGCATGGGACGGTGAGGCCATCGCCCAGTAACAAGGGCATCGCTAGTAGGTGCCAGGTGGAGGCCATCACCATTAGGATGGAGGCCATCGCTATACTAGTAACAAGGGTATTCTTACTAGGAACAAGGGCATCGCTACTAGTAGCAAGGGCATCGCTCCCAATTTGGAGGATGTTTGGGGGAAAAGGTTGAAGGACTAAGAAGCTTTTTCTGGGTGGACTAATCACCTACGTCCGCCAAAACGTCTCAAAACGGAAGTGGCCATCGCATGGGCCCTCCAACAGGCTTTGGTCTGCTTTCTCCCACAAAACCGGCGGCCTGTGTCTTCTGCATTCACTGCGCAAACACACGGACATTTTGGTGTGTCGTTGTCTTTGGTTTTCGTCCCCTTCACATCCCAAACTCCGCACTGAGGCACCCCCTCCATCGCACCGATGGTCGGGCGATTGGCCACGCGCGCGCTAGAAGGACCGTAGCTCGGAGCTGCGCACGAGCGAGTGCCTCCAGCAGCGCTTCTTCTTGTTCAGGGAGGTCATAAAGCCAAATATCTTCATATTCCTGCAGATCGCAGTGAACAATGAGGCATCAAATATGAGGCGAGTAACAAGAAGCTACTAGGTGGAGGCCATCGCTACTAACTAGGGCATCATATGAGGCAAACTTCTTTGACAAGAGAACTTTCACCGGCTTGACCTATAGGACCTACAGCTCCTTCTGGACATTTGTCACGGGGTGCCAGGTGCAGAATCCTCGTTCGCCTCTTTATCTCTCCATACGAAAAAGGACCTGCGCACAGCCAAATCCAAGAACCACTGATATCGAAGAAACCGCACTTTGAGTCAAGTAGCAAAGATAGTGGCACAGCTAACAAACACGGACAAAAACAAACACTACAGCTACTAGCGTCTGCTAGCGTCTGCTAGCTAGCTTGCTAGCTCCACTCAACTCAACTCTACCCTTCTGTCACTAGGCTCCCACTACTTCGAACTGCACGGTCTGTGTCAAAAAGAGAGGTTTGGCGGCAAGAAAGTGCACCAATCGGAGATGATCAAACAGTCGGAGATGGGAAGATATTGAGCCGAGTTTTTTTCCAGATCAATCTGTCAAGGAATGGCAAACTCCTTTGGGGTGACTCGATGTCTTTAGTGTCGGTATTCGTTGTGTAATTAAATGTATACCAGGACCCTCCAAGGGGTGCTCAATGGAAGCCTATAGGTAGTGTGAGGTAGTCCATTGGACACCCCTTGGAGGGTCCAGGTAGGTGGTAAACATGTGTCCTAGTACCTTTGGCCTTAAGATCCCCCAACCCTATGGCACAGGCACTGGACGCTCGACGGTCCGAAGAACCCTCACCAACGACGGTCCTGGTGGGACGCTGAAAAACAGCGGTCCCTGTGCAGTCCCTCACTGGTTGGTCGGCCCCTCCGAACCAGCAACAGTTGGACCACAAAACCAACCAACCAACCAAGCGAGCAGCATGGATTTCGGGCCTCTGTCTGCGGTCTCTACGGATGTCTGCGGAGGAAAAAAAACGCCTCATTTCCGGAAAATACCACATCAATAGTCACAAACCCTCCATCCCTTGCATATCCTAGCATTCCTGGCCCACCATCAATTCAATGGGCAAGTCATCCCGAACACCCATTGTGAACACAGCAGCTATTTGGCCACTCCAGCTGCCCGTTCCCCGTTCCAACGGAAACATGGCGACGGACTCAATGGACGATCCACTGCTGTTCTCATCAGTCCTGGTCAAAGATCAACCCGTCAAAGAGCTGGAGCACACGCTGTGCCTGACGTGTCGCTGGAGCACACGTCGTGGTCATGCGTCCCGTATCGTGGCGTATCTCTCTCTCTCTCTCTCTGTCAAGTGGGCCACATCTGCTTTCTTAGTGGGATGGTTTCAATTCTGCATCCCCATCTCTCGAAACGTTTTGGAACCAAAAACACGTTTGACTTTCACAGGAACCTCGTCCTTTCCCATGCCGACTGTCACCGCGGCATCTGCCTCTGCCGGTCAACCCACTGAGACTCGAGAGCAGCGCACCTCACACGCAGAGAGCGGCGCACACCTCGTCGCCTCGCACCGCAAAGGCCCAGGCGCTCGGTGGATCCGCCCTGCGAAGCGGCAGGACCGGACGAGCCGGCGGCGAAGGCAGCTGCAGAACGTGGGGGGGGAAGAACGTGGCAATGGAGAAGGTCGTGGTGTCGGGTGGGAAGACGGGAGGACTTTCGGGTGGGTCGACCTCTTGTTTTTCCCGATCTAACACGGGTGAGGAGTGGCGGGGGTATGGACCGCGCCGTGTACCACCCAAGACGTGGATGCGTGAGGTTGATCGTGAGGACTCACGGTTGGTCTCAGCAGTTGTTTCAGAATTGGCTCGAAAAGGGGGTGGACATCCCAGAATTGGGTTGGGGGAACATCGGAACCAGCCGTGGGGTGAAAGATGTGGTAAAACCAAACCGATCTTCCCTTAGCAACTCACTGATGACCCAAATCTCAGACGCGGACGGATTCAGGTACCAGCAACGATCCCATCTGCGCCAGTCATGTTTGGTCTGTGCTTCGTAGAAGACTCCATAGAAGACTCCCTGCTAGTGAACCCCCCCAAAAAAGAACGCACAATAGAGGTGGTGGTTAACATCGGCTGCTCTTGCAGGACTCTCACGACCGGTGTGGCGGCGTTTCGCGTTCGCGGCCTGGCCGCCCGGAGGCCTCCAGGCGACGCCTTCTCCACATCTCCAGGCCAAGGGCAGCGCCAACGCCAAGACGGGGCAGCAGCCACATGGCGGCACCGATCGTGGTGTTCGTTCGTTCGGAAGCAACGGAGTCTTCAGAACAAGACAGGAGAAACCTGAGGAAGCATTCTGCCTGTGGGAGAAACCTGCAGCTTAGCAACCTGGGTCGCTCTTTCGATTCGCGTTGTCCCTCCGTCGGGATCGCCGATGCTACAGCTGTAGGACCAGGATCTAAACACCTTTTCCTTGCATCGCCCGAGGTCGACCGCTTGGCTGGTACCCCCTGTTTCGGGTGCTGCAGCTGAAGCGTCACCGGAGCGTCGACCGAGTCGGGTTGCAAGCACACAGGTATCGATATCTGCCTTCGGCGACCAGCCATGACCAGCCGACCTACATTTGGTGTTGAATAACTCATCTAAATCATAGCTGGAATCTGGTGGATGATCGTTTCCAGACTCTTGGGAGAACATGGAAGAGCAAATTGTTAATTTTTTGAAGAACAGTTCTCTGAGTCTCCATGTCATAACCTTGTCAAGGAAAACCAACATGGAGCTCCATCTATGAAATAGGTGTAATTATAAGTCTTCTGAACAGTTTCTGATGTGAACTACAGGTACCGCTTGCCGCTCAACAGCTCCTGCTTCCGTCTTGGACTTGCGGAAGTACTCATTGACTTTTTCATATACGTTCAAGATCAAAAAAGAATCCTTTCCTTATCACACTTTCGGCCTCAGTTTGCTGGGAACACAACTCAGTCCTTCACCTGCCATACCAATACTTCCAGTGCAAGAGCAACCAAAAGCCCAGCCACTGCTGTGAACCCAAGAACTGCGCCTTCGTCCCCGATTCCGAGCATTGGTCGGTAAGACTCACTGAGCCAACCCTGGGACCCTAAAAACTCCAACCAACTTGCCGTTTTTATCCATTTTCATCCCAATCAATCTTCGCAGTGGGCGGTTGTTCGTGGTTGTAGCTTTGGCAGCTCTCTTCAGAGAAGAAGAACGACCTGTGCTGAGGAGCCGGGCCACATGCCCTGTGAGTTGCTGATCGATGCAGGTCCACATGCCATGCAGTGCAGTGTCATCCAGGTGATCCTGGCATCGTCCCCGTGGACGCGCGGCATCGGAACACGTTGGACGCCGCTGGCGGAAGCCAGGCGCGGAGCCTTCGTTTCCCCGGCCCAAGAGTGGACCGGGTCAACCAGAAAGTAAACCAAATCTTGATCGATGCAAACGCTTTGATGCCAAACACTGGCACCCACACTCCCCGGCAGAAGTCCAGGACATCGACGTCTCTGCACTGACCGAAACGAAGTGTGGAAGTTCCCTTTCAGGTCCCTAAAGACCATTCCTTTTATAGTCTGACCGACTCCCAGGTTTCTGCACTGTTCCTTCACCCTTTTAGACCGCAGGTTTCCTTTTCTTTTCGGTCCTGATCGTAACCCAGAAGCCGCCTTGCGAGAAGCTGCCATTCCTGCAGCAGGGTTTCGCTGCGTCTTTTTTGCTGCGCTGCTCACCAGACATCCCGACCCTTGCTAAATTCGATGGCAATCCGATTCAGCCTCTACCAGGGGCCCCACAAACCGTCAAACACCTGGTTTTCCCTAGCAAAAAGACATGGTGTTCGTTTGCGAAAACAGATCTTTTTCATGGTTTTGAGGGCCACTGGTATTGCCTCTATCTGATGTGCGTGTCTTCTATCTTCAAAGTAAGAGAACAAGTTCGAGTCATCCACTTGGGAGAAACAGTCCAAGTTGAAAAGAGGGGGCCGCTTCGTTTGTCCTTTTTGCCTTTTGAACTGATGCCGGTTCTGGTCGGACGGTTCAACTGCCATAGAATTGAGTCCACACGCCTTCCCTCAAGGATTCGGTTTCACCGATGACCCGACAGCACTCCATGGTATAACATGAACCCTTTTTCACCACGCACATGTAGATCGCCATCATGTTGGCTGTGCATTTTTTCTCAACCCCCCCCAAACGATGTAGATGAAACACTAGCCATTCTGCCTCAGGGGGTCTTTTCTTCATTTCTCCGTCTCCACGACCGTCCAGGACATTCCCGTCACCCGCACCCATTCAGAGACCACGCCGGTCCATGGCAGTCCTGGGCGGCGTGGAACGCCGAACTGGAGGAGTCGACTCAATCGCAGACACGACCTGTCTGGGACTGCCATAGGACTGCCGCCCTGGCACCAGACCCCCCTGGCACCACCCCTGGCCGTTTTGAAGGCAGTCCGTCATGGCAGTCCCAGACAGGTCGTGTCTGGGAATGGTGTATATCTACTCTGGTAAGACCAGTGCTAGTAGGTTGGAGGCCATTGCTATATACACGCTGGTGTAGACTCCTTGTGTTCTGGTGTATACTCTGGTATGCGACCAGTTTCCTCTACGTACACGACATCACGCGGCCCTGTCCCGCTCCCTTACCCCGCTGGACATTACCGGGAGGCAATGGACTATGCAGATGGAACTCATGAACCTGAATGCAAACACGTACTCGAAAACAAGTGCCCTAACATCGCTCGACACTCTTGTAAGAGACAATCCTTGTAGAACGCTCTTGCGGGACAATCTCGTGCGACACTCTCGTGGGACACTCTTGCGGAACACTCTTGTAGGACCTATCCGTAGCATGAGTTCCGAAGAAGGCCTGGGTTGTCCTGGGCCGTCCCCTCAGGTTGAAGCAGCTCAGGTCGCGCCTTCAGTCCACCGTTGTCCACAAGGGTAGGCCAGCAGAACCTTCATCTTGTCGCCCAAGATGACCTCCTCATCGAGAAGCTCGACCTCCTGTTTGCAGCTCAGCCTGCTGCTCAGCTTGAGAGACGGAAACGTCGCCGTTTGCAGCCCAGCCGTTGGGCAGTGAGTTGCAGCGAAGTCGCTGCTGACGGTGGCGCTTTCTTTCCGCCTTGCCCAGCCGGCTGCGCCGTGCGGCTGCGCCTGCACCCTGCTCCAGACCGTGCTCTGCCAAGCTTCTGGTCGACGCCCAGAGGCGACCCGTTCGGCCCCGAACCAACTGCTACATGTTGCTTCGGTCCAGTTCACCGCGAACTGAGGGTTTTGACCCCCTGGCGCGAACTGAGGGTCCTGCCTCTGAGCGTAACTGGGTGCTACTACACTGGTAACAAGTACTTCTCATTGACCGTGCATGACCGATGTCCAGTGTTCATGACCGATGTACAGTGTTCATGACCGTGAGCCGGTGTTTGTTTTCTCCTGGATTCCCCGGGGTCGGAGAACCGGGTGGTCGAAGCATTGCTGCGTTCCCGCCGGAGACATTCGTCGGTCAGAGTGGCGGTCAAGAGAACCTGTGGAAATTGTGTGCCTCGAAGCAGTCGAAGATTTCATCCAGTCTTGTGCCTTCTTTTCTTGTGCTCGATTTCATCCAGTCTTGTGCTTTTCCGGCTGGATTCGTGCTTTTCTAGGGCTCAAAGTTCGACATGATAACCTTCCAAAAAGTGGATCCATATTCGTTGGAATCTGGATTTGAGACTTTTATACACTTTGACCACCCACTCTTGCACTGCGGCCTTCTCGACACATCCCATCCCATCCCCGAATTTCGTCTCGCAAACTCGAGGTCCCCCGCCCCAGTGATCGTAAGCCATCATGAGCTGTTCCACCTTGGAAGGATTGGTGGAACCCTGGTGACCTAAGCAATTGGCCAATTGAAGGTTGGAGCCTCCTGTTGAACCAGTTCGCAGCCCGTGAGGAACAGCTCACCTTCCGTTCGATCCTTTCTACCGAAGCATGGCCAATGGTGGGCGACCCGATCCGCGATCTGAAGACGAGAAGGAGACATCCAACATGTTCCATGTGCTGGACAAGGACGAACGCGTGCTCGTTCATGCTCAGTCGGGATTGGAATCGTTCCCTTTCAACTGACCGTGTCGTGAAAAAAAGACAACAGACTTGTCGACCTCCGAAAACACACAGCACCAGTCCCAACAGTGAGATCTATTCCAAACACACACCTGGATCTAGTCCCGTTTGGCCTCCAGTCGTACCGTATCGTTTCGCTTCGGGGTAGAAGGGGCACCCATGCCATGTTCGGGTGTCATACCGAACCGGTGTAGTCGCTACGACAGGTGTAGGGAGTGGGTATACGACTGGAACGACCGCGAGCGGCCGACGCTGGCATCTCCGGAGCCCTCGCCGGGCCCTCGCCGAACAGCGGGGCAGCCGGTCTTCCGATGTTTCATCTCATCCTTTTCCATACATGGCATGATATCCTAAGACTTTCGGGAAGGACCATTCAAAACAAGGATGGAACTGGCTTTTGTAGTGTAAAATCCTTAGTTGGTTCGGTGTTCAGCCTATTCATTTCATAGTGGTTGGAAGTCTAAGGGATAGTCTGGGATGTATGGAAAACGATGTATGCCACCCGTTGGTCCATCCCGTGTCCCCCAGTGGTCATCGACCCCCAAAGGCGTCCGAACGAGAACGACTCCAAGAGACCAGCAACCAACTCCTCTCAGGACCAACAGGACGGGGACCACGTTCGGGGCTGCTAGGGGCTCCGTTGGGGGTCCTATTAGGCCAAAGTTGGGTATGTCCCATTTCCAGTGGATGATGATGCTTAGTAAAGGCATGTCTCCAAAATCGTCATCATTTGCCAACTGAAGGTGGTCATGGGGATATACCCGATGCCAAATGATGTCTAACTGCCAAAATGTGATGTTGTTCCTTCTTTTTCCTTGAAACGATCGGTCGGCCCCGGCGCCCCGGCAGTGTAGCACGAGAGACCATCCTGAGTGGGTCAGTCAATGCCAACGAGTCAAGGTGCACAAGGACTTGGATTTGCGGTCCAGGAACCTTGAACAAAAAGGGTGTATTCACCAGAAGGGGGTTTACCCATAGGGAAAATAGAACATCCCCCGATCCGCGATGTCGCGACTGTTGGTCAGAATGGCTCGACCAATCCATTAAGCTACTCATAGTGATTTCATGTGGTTTATCGCAGAATCCTCCAAAGGTGGTTTAATGTGGTATATATATACATATATATATATATATATGGTACCTCCAAATTCAAGACGTAGAAGATTGGAATCCGTCAGGGATGTAAGATGATGACGATCATGATTTATATGGACTCCCATCTTTTCAGGACAAACCAAAACGGGGTGCCAGTGCCGTGGACCCTCTGAAAGCGAAACCGAAGACGAACAATGCCTGGAGGCACGTCATATCTTCCATCGATTCCAAGACCAACATCCCCAAGGGGAGCATCACCAAACCATGCTCATCACCATGCTTGGTGTGATGATGTGTGATGGTCTTACCCCTGGGCCCTTGGGGCATCCCATCTTCAAAGAGAGGTCTACCATACCGATGCGGAAGGCCCTTTTGTAAGACAGGGTTTTTCGTGTCGTCTGTCCTCAAACATCCCTGGCTAGAGTCTCTCTGGCTAGAAAGAGGACCAAAAACGCGACCCTTGTAAGAATGAAACGCCTCCTTCTTCACTTTCGAAGTGCGGGATTTCCCACACACACGATCAGACCCTGGTTCCCCTATGCCCAATGGGGCCCGCGACTTCATGCGAGCACCGGAGCGGAGCGCTCCACCGCACGGCACACTCCGCGGATCGACGCCCGGAGCACCGGGACCGACACCGAGGTCGTGGCCACCACGGCTTGGGCTGCTTGCACCGCCGAGGCCGCTTGGAGCTGGGACTTCTGACCGTGGGAAGCCGCGAAAAGACCAAAGAACACAAAAAGGAGACCTAATGGCAAAAGGAACCTAATAGCGATGGCCTCCAGCCTAGTAGCGACGGCCTCAAGGCTAGTAGCG